TACTTACTGAACAACAACTATAGTTAGTAATAACACCTACTCGAACAGTAGGTAGGAAGAGTATTATACTTCTGTACTACTCTTACGTGTGATAATATCGAGAAAGTATTCCTTTGAGGCAACATCTGCCACTTGGTGGGTCCCATCATCTCCATAACAGAGAGATATATATAATTAGATTAAGGTGGTTGGCAGATTTAAAAAAAGGGAAAAGAAACAATTCATCATCAGACAACTACTGTAAAGGGTGGAGAATGGTGACTGGAGGTAGAGAAAACTAAAGATAGGCAAAATCTCTCAATGGCATAAGAATATGTGACAGTAATGTGTTAGAAGTTTTCTACATCCCCACCTGCAATATCTTGTATAGAGGAAGTCAATGGCTAGATGCAAGAGAAGCTGCAAGATTACAAACTTGATAGGAAGAGACATGAAAAATATGAAAAGGGTCAAGGATCATAGAAAAATAAACTGGCTGAATGGGATGTATAATCCAACCGGGCAAGGTGGAAAAGGATAAGCTAATAGATGAAAAGGAACCCCACAGCAAGAAAAGATATTGACAAGTGCTCTGAAAAGGGACAATACAAGTGAGATAAGAATGAATAAACTATACAGAATAAAGGAATGGGTCAGAATGATTGCAAAGAAAGAAAAGAAGGATGAATGAAGAAAGCATTGAATCATCCTCCCAATCCACACAAATTTCATTAAGAAAGGAGTGGCCAGGGAAGAAGATTAACTTGTCCACGTGGCAAATAGTGCAGGAGGATGCCAAGAAAATACTAAGAGTGATGACTTCCACAAGTAAGAAGAGGAATAAATATGTCTGAAGCATATAAAAGGAGATTGAACCACACCAAGCATAGACTATCACCTACCATAACTGTAGAGTCTTGGTAATGGACATCAAATGAGTGGAAGCAAGACGTGGAGAACAGTTGGAAAAGCAATGATGTCTGGACTTCTATAGTAGAAGAAAATCTAGTGAAAACACCAAAAAATGGAGAAACCATCCTATGAAAAAGATCCAGGCTTAGGTGAAAAAGCTGATCTGCCACTAGTTCCTGAGCTCCCAGGACAAGACAGACCAACAACTAAAAGTGGTAATTGTGGGCCCAAAAGAGAAATTCCAAAGGTCCTGCAAGTGCCTCTCTGATAGGGGATGGAAGAAACAACATAGGAGGTGTCTGAATTGATCCTGATAAGAAAATAGACAGATGAGATTGGAAATGATGGCAAGCCAGCAGAGCAGCTACCATCTTGAGAACATTGAAATAGAGAAAACCTCTTCAGTAGAGATAAACTGCCGGAAATGGATCAGGCATCCTAAACTACACTCTGCCTGAACATAGGCACTTGTCAAAAAGTTAATGTGTAGGAATGGTTATCTTCAAGCACAAAGCAACATGATAAAACAAAACATGAACATAATAAGAAGAAGCATTTATTAAACATTTTGGAATCATCATAATTCCATCATCTGTATTCTAGAGGTACAAAACATACAAATAATATTTGTAATTACATAACAGAAATATATATATAAGAAATAAACAATTTGAATATACAAATATAACACGAGAAAATGAAAACCGAGGCATAAGTGAAATAGTTAAAATAGGTTTAAATCCAGTGAAAACTGTGTGTTATTTAGTTCAGTATCATGTTTGGCTGTTGAAAGAACTTTAAAGTTTCAGAGAGAAATCAGATGTCCTGTTTCTGTATTGTGTTGATAGATAGCAAAGTTGGGAGAGTTTGTAACCTTTCTTCAAGTTTTTATAGATATGCCCATGTGTTCACATGCTCGTACTTTAAGGTGACGTTTGGTTTCACCAATATAGGAGGCCTTACAGTTTCTGCTCATATATAAGTAGACGAGATGTGAACAACTTCTTCCCAACTTCACATCCCGGCTGGACTTCAACCACCTTTTAAATCTTATCAACCAAAGTAATGAGAAGAAAACTGCTAGACATGAACACATATAGAACGTTAACTTAATGAACTTTCTAATAACATAACTCATAGCAAAATCTCCCCTGACCAAATCATCTTCAACTACAGCAACATCACTTTAAGTGATAATCAAAAAAATTGCACTTGCCAAAGGACTGAACTTCTCTTCAAAATTCAATTATGCTAATTATATCTATCCCTGGGAATCCTTGTACTGGAATATAAAATCTTTACCTATTTTTTCCAAGAATACTTCTGAACAAGCAGAAGAACTATTTACTACTAAGGTAAAAAAAAAGCACTCTTCACTTTCTATAATTATAACATACATAGGGCATCCTGAAATCTGAAGGGCTCACAGCTATCAAAGAACTCTCCAAAACAAAAATATCATCATCATCTGTCCGGACAAAGGAAATGGAGTTGTTATCCTCAACAAAGTTAACTATGTTAAGAAAATGCTTGACATTCTTAACGACTCCAACAAGTTCAAACTTATAAAAAAAAAGGAATCATTAACCCATACTTTACAACTTGAAGGGAAAACCCAGAGATTTCTTAGAAACCTTAGCAAAAGGTTCCCAACCGGGAATATTATACGGTCTGCCGAAAGTTCATAAACCAGACACCCCCCTATGACTTTGTCTTAGACACTCACAGTTATAATGTAGCTAAATTCCTTGTACCCATCTTAAAACCTTTTACTATGAACAAATTTACACCTGACTCCTTCCAATTTTCACAAAAAATCAGCCAACTCCCCCCCCCCCCACGTAATGGTTAATTTTAACATTACTGCCTCTTTTTACTAATATTCCACTGAACGACACCATTAATATTGCAATTTCTAATCTCTTCACTAAAAACATTCTTGTTAACTCTCTCAACACAGGCT